CGTGTGAATGCGTTTGACCTTGCTATTGTTGACTCCAATAACGTATGTGGGTTACTCTATGTTGAGTATTTCAAATTACCGTTCATCAGTTACGCATTCACGACGGCGGAAGAGAAATACTGGCATGCACCTCAACCATTATCGTACGTACCTGTTAGTATGTCGGCCCTCACAGACAAAATGACTTTCTTGGAAAGACTAAAAAATACCCTCATTTATTTGGTCTCTGACATATTTCGCGATGTACTATATCTTGCACAATTCAAACAAATACAGAATAAATACAACATAGTTCCTGATACGAATATTGGAGACATTGCATCAAAGGCCAGACTGTGGTTGTGGGCTTCGGATTTTGCCTTTGAATATCCCCGTCCTCTGATGCCACACGTTATACCAATCGGATCATTCACAGCAGAGAAAGTTAAACCACTTTCTAAGGTAAGATGTTATACTGTTGAAGTGACAGGCATGAAGGGGCGAGATTTGAAATTTATTGGAGGGAGGGGCAACATTTTTTAAGGGTGGGCGACCGCCGCTCTGCCTCCGGTGCCGCCACTGGTGTTTAGCAATAACCTAAGTCAGTTTCGTAAAACTGACAATGAATGCATTATCTCTCGTTCCAAGTGCACTTATTTACACTTTTAATAATACTAAATTTGACCATAATAAGGAATATGTTGATACAGCAAGTGTCGCCAAATTGTCGAATTTACTTTATTTGGCAGCTGATAAAGGGAAATTCAAAAATAATTCTCTTGCAAAATCTAAAATAACAAAAAGTGGTTCAACAATGATACAATTGAATTTGAAGAATAAAAAACACAATTTCTCATCTAAATTTAGCAAAGATACGAATGATAAACAGCTAACAAATGTTATAATCTGAAACAAATGCTTAAACAAAGAAAGAGGGAACTTAAATGACATCTTAAAGACGCAATAAATAATCATAGTTAGGGTACTAACCATAAAAATTACTCTGTACATATCGACTACTAAAAACAATTTCACATTTGAAAAAAACACCTAAATACAATAAAAAAAATCTGCAACATACATCTTCACTGACAAGATTAAGTGCACATGCTTTAGAGATATAAATGGGCAGATATTGAAATTTTGACCTTTATGACAGAAAATTACATGTCTTTGATGAGCGTCAAATGGTAAGAAATGTAGCCATAATGAGCAGTGAAAATGAGAGAACGACAGCAGCTCTATCAAAATTACATATAGATGTTTTAAACTAAGGCAGGAACATTTAAATAAAATAAAATAGTCAGGTGCCTCATAATATTTATGTCATATATATATATATATTATATATATATATATATATATATTATTTAACTTTTTATTGAATTATCTTCATTTTTTGTTAGTTTTGTTTTTTCTTGCTTTATATATCTTCATCAAGATATAGGTAATTGTGTGTACGTTGGGAGGGGGGGCAACCACTAAACTGAATTTATGAAAATGATTTTCCTATATTGTGTGTTCTTCTGAATGTGGATGAAAGTTTACGCTTTCAAATAAGCAATGACTCACAATTCATTTCAGACCACTCTCTGACAAAAAATCCAGAATATGTGAATGTCATCACGGAATTGTGTGTGTGTGTGGGGGGGGCATAGCACAAACATTGCTTCGTGATTATCACGAAAAGAAGTTTACTCTGTCATGCTTTGAGGTATTATTATTCGAGCCTGTCACAAATATCTAAATGGGGCGAATGCTCTAATTCATAAAAAGCGTATTTGTAATGAGGCGAAGTTGCAGATATCAATATAATAACGAAAACATAGTAATTAACAATAACTTTATTGGAAGTTGTTCTGTAAAATCAGAATATGCAAGCCTCAAAAAAGGATATTTACTGAATGTACATAAATAAATATTGTTACTAGGAGCTAGATGATTGGATACGTGGATCAGGTGTCCATGGTATTGTTGTATTCTCTATGGGTTCGCAAATCAAGGACTTGGGACGTAACTTGACTGTGGACATAGCTTCCGCCTTATCACGTTTACCACAAAGAATTGTGTGGCGACATGACGGAGAGACACCCACAACTGTCGGCAGCAATACCAAGATCGTCAAAAAATGGATGCCACAAAATGATTTACTTGGTAGGTATGAGCATAGCATGTTAATAAAAATGACCTAATGTAATGTCTACAACACTTACCGGATAAATGACTACTTAGAGCAAGGTGTCACATACGACTTGCGTTGTAATCGTTTTACAATTACAAGTATTACCATTTTTCAAAAATGGTTCATATTTGTTTGAAACGGTCCATGTTTCTGCGGGGTGAACCCAGACATCCATACGGTATGATAAATGTCGTGAAACGAACTTTAGATTATCAGTATTTTTAGCTAAAGTGCATAGCCATTGGATGCTGATACATATATTACCTTTCTGATCCTTATTTGTTGGAATCACAGTATGAAATATTTTTTTTCCTGGTTATTTATGCAAATATATGTACATTTCATGGTGGTCATCTTATTAAGTATTAGGCGCAGTATTTTTGATGACTTTTGCGTATCAGGGGGAAATTCTTCTCCTCTGGGTTTTTCCACACGTGTCAGGGGGGAATATCGTCTCGTCTCTCTATCGTTTCCCCTTGAGGTGCGGGATCGGGAAAGTCACTTAAGTTTTACAGTCAAATAAGACACACACAACAAAATACGTTTCAACTCTCGTCTTAGTCGGTCAGTCGAGCACTCTATAAGACACAGCGCCCTGGGGAAAAGTCCCCAAGACTATCGCAAGGCTGACCCAAGACTCTGTCCCAAGATTGCGTCTCAAGACTGCTCTCAAGACTGCCTCAAGAATGCGTCTGACGTGGTGTACTCGCCAAGACCAACTAAAAACAACTTTATTCACTTTCAAAACCGTAACCAATTACAAAGCAGTAAAAGACTATAAGGCGTGGCCTTCACACATTCAACCAATCACACTAAGTATTGAACACGACATATCTTTTGATTAATTGTTCACTACATTAGTAACTGCGAATACCAACTGTCAGAAATAGTTATATCGTAATTAGTTCCAAATCACTGAGCCAAGTTCCGCCCAGGACCTCGCATGGGCCGAAACGATGACAGACATAACACAGCCATTTGCTAGTAATCAACTAAATAAGTCGATCAACAGATACGTGCAAACAATCTCATCATACATATTAATTTATTGAGAATTAAATAAACTATACGAAAGTCAGACATTCAATCAGTGAAGATACACCACTATGAATGGGTCAAGGTCAAAAATAGATATGCACTATGAGTGGGAGAAGAGCATTTTTAAACCACTTTTGTCCGACTCTAGCACCGACCATCCATTTTACGACTCTATACATCATAATTTAATCTGTATTTTCGCGAATTAATTTCCTATTTTGTGGGACCATAATTCCTAACTTCCTAAGCATGTATTCGGATCCTCACTTGGGAAAGAAATACTCGTTTATAAATATATTTTTCTAGATCAAATATACCCTTAATTTCCAGTGATGGCGCTCTTTAATATACATTTCATTTCAAACAATTAGTTATGGTGGACACTTGCACAACTAGATACACTTGGTTAGGTTCGCACAGGTCAATTATTCGCTTTAAACTATGTTTAGATAATATCTTCTGACGGCATATTCTAGTACGTCAAAAAAACAACAAACAAAACACTTTATCTAGCACAGGTCTTTGACTATCAAAATAATCTGCCACAGTACACGGCCAATCATGACGCTCGTCTCATCGTTACCTATGATATTCTAATGATGTTTGTTGTTCACAGCCAATCCAAATACTCGTCTCTTCGTGACCCACGGTGGTGCCAGTGGCGTGCACGAAGGATTACATCATGGCGTACCTATGCTATGCATACCAATATACACCGATCACTATGACAATGCTGCTAAAATGAAGTCGAAAGGTATCGGAAATTACATCGATTACAAAACAATGACGTCAGACAGTTTTCACCAAATGATGGTTGATATAATCACAAATGATAGGTATGTACAGTTGCTCTATCTTTCCTCACTCACTGCTCACGCTCCTTTCTTCCATCTTTCACTAAACAATCAATTCAGTATAACATTATAAACGCTTTTTCTTTATTTAATCATTGCCAGTGGCAATAAACAACAGATTATTAACATATCACCAACAGATACAAAAAGAGAGCTCAGAAGTTATCCGCCATTTCCCGAGATAAGCCGATGACTGCCGAAGAATCTGTTGTATACTGGGTAAACTACGTATTGAAACATGGCACAGATCATCTGATATCCCAAGTACCCAACCTCTCGTGGTATCAATATTTTTTACTGGACGTAGCCGCGTTCGTGGTAGTTGTTGCCTTGGTAATATTTTGCGTCATTAAAAAGATGGGCGCAATTGTATTAGGATTATGCTGTAGAAAATCTAAGAAACAAAAAAAGAAAACAGCATGATTTCCGACGCGTTCCAGCATTTATGACACATTTGTTGACTTTATGTTATTGGTCGAATTTCATTAAATATGGAATCAATCAATATGTAATTGTAGTGTTTTCGAGTAAAGTGTACTTATTTCTTTTCTTGGTGGTAAATTGTGAACACATCATGTAAGTTATTATACACTGACCAAATGGTTTGCATGCTGTAAAATACGCTCAGAAAAACTAAAACTCATTTTGCTATTAACCAGAATAAACGTGATCCACCCCAGTAAATGGTTAATACTGTATTTGCGTGATTTAATGATGGCTGTGTTTTAATGTGTCGACATCATTCTTTACTCAATTTTTAAAAGTTAAGCAGTATATCATAAATAGATAATTTAGCCGTAACGTCATTGGGGCTGAGCAGTGTCCTTCCTTCACACGCGTACTCGCACTGGGGGGAATTCGATGACAGTTGACAAGCTCCTGTGTGTTTTATCGGGTCATTGAAACGCCGCGTTCTCATAGCTGATCGGTACCACACGAAGCCCTGTTATCAGACAATAACTGGGTAGTGCCGTTTGAGGTCAATTTCAACTCGAAAATTACCTATCACCGTGTTTTCGCATGTTGTTTTTCGTGAATGTTCTACGCGTAACCAAAATAACGTTTACGACGCGCTTATCACACTGTTGATTTCTAGTTCCTCAGCTACAACTGCACGTATATTCAATTTTCTGACATTTCTGGGTATTATAATTTAAATACAGAACTCCACACTGGCCATTATTGCGTGTTAATAAATCACCACTATCAGAATAATGAATGAAACCCCCTACAACACGTAATGTTGGATGGGGAGAAGGTTCTATGACAAGATAACTATAGACATTGAATCATATGCAAGGATCACGGTGTAATATGTTAGGAAATTTCTTTGACTTCGTTTTGCGAAAGTGCCAATACAGTAAGAGTGTCATTAAGCTGACAGACAGTGATAATCTAGTTTAAATACCAGTTATTCCGTCGACGAGGGCGCAATAACTATCCGTCCAGCCAGAGTTTCATTGACTCCCACGATACACATAATGGCTGACCTCTGAGCGTTATTCATGTGTGAGTAAGCACAATGCAACAATGGACGGTATGAGTAAACATCACGACGAACCCTCGATGACCTCAAATACGTTTAGAAGGTTACGTGCCACAACAGTGTTGGCCTAGGAACATGGTGAAGATGAAGTCGCACATTGCAGTGATTTCCATTATGGTTCTCTTTATGTACGGAATTGATACAGTGAACAGTTCTCGTATATTGTTACTTCCAATGTATAACAAAAAACACGGCGTTGGATTCGGGAAAGTTGCCGATGCTATAGCTACAAATGGGCATGATGTCACGATGTTGATACCATCGTCTGACAAAACACCGTCTGACAGTAATTCGTACAATATAAAGACAGTACCAGTGAGTTTGACGCCGACTGACCTAGAGAAGAGAGGCTTGGACATGGCACAGACTACCATCAATGAAGGGTTCAACATCTATATGTTTCAAAACCTCTCCAAACTACTGGCTGACATCTGCGATGACATATTCAGTAACCTACCGGACCTCACAGAATTCAATCGCATTAATGAATTCGACCTTGCTATTGTTGACTCCACTAATGTCTGTGGGTTACTCTATGTTGAGTATTTCAAATTACCGTTTATCAGTTACGCGTTTATGACAATGGAAGAGACATATTGGAATACACCTCGACCATTATCGTACGTACCTGTTACTATGTCGGCCCTCACAGACAAAATGACTTTCACGGAAAGACTAAAAAATACCCTCATTTATTTGGTCTCTGACATATTTCGCGATGTACTACATCATGCACAATTCAGAGAAATACAGAATAAATACAACATAGTTCCTGATACAAAGATTGTGAACATTGCATCAAAGGCCAGACTGTGGTTGTGGGCTTCGGACTTTGCCTTTGAGTTTCCCCGTCCTCTGATGCCACACGTTATACCTATTGGATCATTCACAGCAGAGAAAGTAAAACCACTTTCTAAGGTAAGATTCAAAAGATTATGGCGTCGTAGTCATGTCAAAATTAGAACATGCCATAACATAACGTATCGTGCCATTTGACAGCATGCCATTTCTAGATGCGAGATTTCCGTATTTATATTGCAGTGTCAGTTGTGTTATTTCATCCCATGACATGTCATTTAATTATGTAACATGTGGTTTTACTGTGTGTCATAACCATTTGACGCTACAATATTGCACCATGCGCTATTCCATTTGATGCTACGGCATGTCAATAGCGGCTCGGCTTTTATGTCAAAACTATGATGAACAAGCATCTCAATTATCATAGTTTGACCTTTGACTAGCATGCCTGAATCAACAATCAATCATAACTCAAGACATACAAAAATATAGAGAATATAACAAATTATCCATTTTTTCTAATATTCTAGTGTAATCGGTATTTATGCAAATTATCATTGGTCAGCATAAGGAGTACATTTCACCTTGAATTATTCTTAAAATATTTCGGGATTTTCTAGTCAAAATCAGTTGTTTTCACAATATCAATAAGTATTTATCATAGTGTTCAAAGCAGCCATGGTCACGGGTGCACACACTTATTATGAATGTAGACCGTTATCATATTATAATTATACAAAGTTTTGTCATTGCCAAGTACACAGTACTAGAAGTCATTCACGATTTGTAATCAAGCATTCAAATTTGCATAAATCAAGAGTTGTAAATCTACAGCGTAAACACGAAATTAGAGTTGGTATTTTGGGATTTATTTCACTACACAAACAGCATGTACTTTCTAACTACTAATAAGTAAACATAACACATACATAAACATTCTTTTCTAGGAGCTAGACGATTGGATACGAGGATCAGGTGACCATGGTATTGTTGTATTCTCTATGGGTTCGCAAATTAGAGACTTGGGACGTAACTTGACTGTGAAGATAGCTTCCGCCCTATCACGTTTACCACAAAGGATTGTGTGGCGACATGACGGAGAGACACCCACAACTGTCGGCAGTAATACCAAGATTGTCAAAAAATGGATGCCACAAAACGATTTACTTGGCAAGTATGAGCATAGCATGTTACTAATGATGATGCAATGGCTGCAAAACTTACAAGATAAATAATGATCATAAAGGGCGGTGGTCGTAGCGCCGCGCCATGTTCGATATAGGACTCATAGCAACGTGGACATAGCGTGTAAAATACAATGTTTGCACCAAATTCAAACACGCGCTGCGCGACAACCACCGCCCTTTAAAATGTCATGATTTACTTAGAGTAAGATGTGAGAGCACAAACTGCACATGCGCTACCATTACTTTATTTAACTGATTCATTCGTTAGTAATCCTAAAACTGCGTTAAATGATGACATCTAGTTTGAGATCGAGATGTCGGCTGAATTCATTTTCTGATTCGAATCTAATCCTTTGTTAGAATGATTACTATAAATAGTTTCCTTTACTTCGAATCAACATATTATATATGAATACACCGCAGTAGATTAAGGTCAAACGAGTTCAGAGAAGCGCATATAGTATTTGAGATTTGCAGTCTGTTATTTAGATTTTATTTAATCTGTGAATGTGAGATATGCGATGAAGATCACACGCAAACAGAAGAAGTCACACGAAATGGCAAAATCGCAAGACAAACCCACATTTCTAGAAATCCTAGTTCTTTGAAAGAATTGGGATTAGACCGCTTATGACAATGTCGGTGCTTATTCGTAAATCGTATCATACGTACGTTTTGCGGTTTTTGAATGCTTTTGAATTTCGCTCTTTCCTTTTTACGCAATCGAACAATTTGCGCAGCCTAATTCAATTCTCCCATGTACGCAAAGTTGTATATATACAAATATATCTTTGCCACCACGCAATCTTATGCTCGTCTTACATTCATTCGTAACAGTGGTGCCATTTTCAAAGACGCATGCCCACAAAAACATGTGTTGCCAACATTTTCGAACCCTACAAAAGTGAAAAGCTCATTTTATTACTTTCCGCAACACAAACGGAGTGGTAGTAGTACGAGTTACTGTCAATACCAATTGTTTTTGTTTGTTTGTTTATATGTCTTGACAATCGACCAAGTAACACCGTTGTTCCTTGATAAAATTATTTCTTTGTGAAATTCAACTACAAATGTACTTCACCTTTTTCGCTGTGTTTACGAAAAGATCATTATCAGATATTGATAACGTATTTTAAAAGTTGTTTACTTGTACGAAGGAATCAACACTAGAGCCCTATAATAACAACACGCCAAGAATACTCTAAACGTTTTGTGGCGTTTCACCACAAAATAGCAGTGTGTAAAAGATACTTTTGGTTTTCTGGCCGCAAGGATCTCCGCGAATCTCAATCGTGGTCTATAGGATTTAATTAGTAAATACATATGTCGTTCACAGCCAATCCAAATACTCGTCTTTTCGTGACCCATGGTGGTGCCAGTGGCGTGCATGAAGGATTACATCATGGCGTACCTATGCTATGCATACCAATATACGGCGATCACTATGAGAATGCTGCTAAAATGAAGTCCAAAGGTATCGGAAATTACATCGATTACAAAACAATGACGTCAGACAGCTTTTACCAAATGATGGTTGATATAATCACAAATGATAGGTATGTACATTTCCCTTTCCTTCCTCGCACATTGTTCTCGCTCCACCCTCCCCCCTCACTCACAAACTCGCTCACACTAACCCACCCATTCATCAATCTACCAATCCAATCAACCTAACAATGTAAATGTGTCAATTAACAGGTTATTAACATATCACCAACAGATACAAAAAGAGAGCCCGGACGTTATCCGCCATTTCCCGAGATAAGCCGATGACTGCCGAAGAATCTGTTGTATACTGGGTAAACTACGTATTGAAACATGGCACAGATCATCTGATATCCCAAGTACCCAACCTCTCGTGGTATCAATATTTTTTACTGGACGTAGCCGCGTTCGTGGTAGTTGTTGCCGTAGTAATATTTTACGTCATTAAAAAGATGGGCGCAATTTTATTAGCATTATGCTGTAGAAAATCTAAGAAACAAAAAAAGAAAACTGCATAAATTTTGAAGCGCTTCAAAGCATTTGTGACACATTGAATTGTCTTTTAGGTTTAATTTGAAAGTCGTCCACATGCAACGACCCACATGTCTCTGTAAATATTGGTATTATGATTGCGATTGTTATTACATAACATTCTAAATGCATTATTATAAGCTACTCGCGATCGAATAAAATACATACAGTCTCCTATATAACAAGACATTAATAGAACATTTACTGAATATACACAACAACAGATTGTCTCTATAATAAAGACTACGTAATTTTTAGCTCCGCTGTCGACTTTGTCGAGCGGAGCTTATCATATGAGTGATTGTCCGTCGTCGTCCGTCGTCGTCGTCGTCCGTCGTCCGTGTCAATGTTTACTTTTTCGACTTCTTCTTGAAAACTACAAGCCTGAATGCTT